TGGAGGAGAAGGAGGAGGAGGAGGAGAAGAAGGAGGAGGAGGAGGTGGAGGAGGAGGAGGAGGATCCGCAGCGGGGCCGTCGTGCAGCTCCCGTCGCCCCGGCGATGGCGCGAGCAGGGCGTGCCCGAGGGCTTCGGCAGGCCCGCGGCCGCGCTGGGCGACGCGTACGTGGCGCTGGGCGCGGCGCCGACGTTCACCTGCGCGCCCTACCTGCTGGCCTCCGCACCGCGGCGCGGGGAGCACAGCTCGGGCCGGACGAGGGGGGCCCCTGGGCCACGAGAGTTACGATGCTCCCACCTGCTTCAGCCTTGACCTCCAGGAAGACTTTCGATCGCCCAAAAGAATACCGAAACTCAAGGGTTTTCACGTGTCGGGCCCTGAGAGACGCTCGTCCGACACTGTTTCGACACTGCTTCGACGCTCTTTTGACACTTTTCGGGGTGCTCGAAATTGTTTTTGGGATGTGGTCCTTAAGAGTAGGATGGGAACAGGATAACACGAGAGGTCCCTTCTGCAGGGCAGAGGTGGGGCCCGAGGGTTCCTGCCTCTCCTGTCTGCTTTGTGGCCTCTCCCCGCCCTCGTTTTTTCCCCTCCCTGCCCTCCCCTTTCCCCTCCCCTGCCCTCGCTTTCCCCTCCCTGCCCTCTCCCTGCCCCGCCTTGCCCCTCACCCCTCTCCCCCGCTTCGACTCCCGGCCCACCCCTTCCTCTCCGCTCGCCCTCCACCCCTCCACCAGTTCCCGCTCGAGCCCCTCACGGCAATTGTCAAACGGCGAGGTGCTGCCACTGCCACCCTGGCGCCGCGTTTCCGCCTCCTTGGGCCTCCTCGGGCCCTGCGATCCGACGCTGCGAATACACATGGGGACCTCGGGAAAGTCATGGCCAGGGCCCTGGACCCCATCCTTCTGCAGCGCCCTCCGTGCCGGGTCGAGCTGTGATGGCACCGGGGCCCGAAACCAGGCTGCAGAAAGATGGGAGGAGGAGGAGGAGGAGGAGGAGGAGGAGGAGGAGGAGGAGGAGGAGGAGGAGGAGGGCTCTCCCTGCCCCCCCCCTCTCGTCCGACCCGGACACATCGCCTGGGGAGAGTCCAACGCCGTCGTCTTCGCCAACAGCGTCCTCGGCTCCCGCACATTCAAACCCCGAGCCGGGCGGCGCAGCACGAGCCGGGTTTTTCGAAGCGCTCGAGGCCGCCTCCTGGGCCCTGGCACCGGCAAGCGACGACCCACATTAGTCTGGGCAAGGAACGCAAGTGCACTCGTCGCTCAGTTTGTCTGCGTTCGGTTTTTTTCGTTGCTCCTGGCCTCCGGGAGCCGTTTTCGGGACTCGGCGTCAGACACGGACCTGGGGTGAGCCATGACCCCAGGGAAGTCCCCCAGACGCGTCTTCCACACGGTCTGCAGAAGTTGCATGACTTTTCCGAGGGGGGGGGGCAGGATGACAAGCTGCTCCCCAGGACGAGTCAGGTCGAGATCCCCATGAGGAGGAGGAGGAGGAGGAGGAGGAGGAGGAGGAGGAGGAGGAGGAGGAGGAGGAGGAGGAGGAGGAGGAGGGGGAGGAGGAGAATAGGAGAGAAGAGGGAGGAGAGGAGGAGGAGAGGAGGAGGAGGGGGAGGAGGGAGGAGGAGGAGGAGGAGGAGGGAGCTTTCCGCGCCCGTGCCGTGCCCGTGCCCGTGCCCGTGCCCGTGTCGAGATCCCCAGAGGCCCAGCGTCGCGGCAAGCGTGCGCCGTCGGGGGAGCGGGCGGGCCTGCCGGCTGGGGGCTGGAGCAGATCGGGGTTGGTAGGGGGCCACATGCGAACCCTACCCCGACCCCAACCCCTACCCCCACATGCGAACCCTACCCCTACCCCCACATGCGAACCCTACCCCTACCCCCCCCACGATTTCTGAGCGGAGTGAACCCCACCCTCCCCCTCAGAAATCGTGGGGGAGTAGGGGTAGGGTTCGCATGTGGCCTCCTAGTTGGAGGACCGCGCCGCACCGCCGCATGCATCGGCGATGCGCGCGCTCTGGGGACCAGTGTGCTCCGCGCTGGCGACGACGGCGTCGACGCCGAGGCCGACGACGCCAACGCCGACGACGCCAACGCCGACGGACGATGCCGACGACGACGACGACGTCGACGGAGGACGGACGACGACGACGACGACGACGACGACGACGACGACGACGACGACGACGACGACGACGACGACGACGACGACGACGACGACGACGACGACGACGACGACGACGACGACGACGACGACGACGACGACGATGGAGGACGGACGACGACGACGACGACGACGACGCCGACGCCGACGCCGACGCCGACGACGACGACGTGGGATGGATCACGACGACGACGACGACGACGTGGACCGCGCCGTATCGCCAGTGCATCGGCGGTGCTGCGCCATCTCGGGCCCATGATTTGGAGTCGGGCTTATGGGTCCTTTGGAAAAGGGGCCTTGGAAATGTACGCAATAGAACGTGCAATAGTGAGGCGTACAGCATCAGGAGGTGGCTGCCACACTCCTTGCGCCACAGGATGCTCTTGCATGCGTTTCTGCGACCCCACGCCGAAAGACCCCTCTGCCCAGGACCGAATGCTGCTCCAGCCCTACGTCGCCGATCCCAGACATCCAACGTTAGAACGAAGGTAATATGGAGAGGCGCTGGTATGTTGAACAATTTCAAAGTAGCCGTAAACTAGGTTACGGAAATAGGTGAACAACAACATATATTCGACATGTGTAGGTTACAAAACATTATGTTTTGAGGTGTGAGCGCTCAAGCGCAAGCGTTGTTTGCGGCGCGCAGCGAGTGCCTTGCTTGGAAAGCCGATTGTCATGGCAGCTCAGGGCGCCAGTTCTTCGAGGCGTGGAGGTTCCACGGTGGATCCCCGGAGGTTAGGACCACTTCCCGAGGGCAGGCTTCTCCTCCCGAGTCGCGTTCTGGCCGTCCTGGGGCCCATGGAGGCCCCCCGAGGCCGAACTTAGCCAAAACGTGGCCGGTCCAGTTTTTTGGAGCCTCGGATCTTTGGGGTGCCTCGGCGATGCGGCGTGATCCTCCGACCCCATCTGCTGCGGCCCCGTTCGGGTGCCCTCCACGCACGCAGAGCGGGGGGCGTCGGCTGAGGAGGAGGAGGAGGAGGAGGCGGAGGAGGCGGAGGAGGAAGAGGAGGAGGAGGCGGAGGAAGAGGAGGAGGAGGAGGAGGAGGAGGAGGAGGAGGAGGAGGAGGAGGAGGAGGAGGAGGAGGAGGAGGAGGAGGAGGAGGGCGAGGAGGAAGAGGAAAAGGAGGGTCGATGCACATGCCTCCCTCGTGTGGACAGGAGGGTGCGTAGACACCGATCCTGGGCCCAGGTTAGGCCTGGCCAGGATCGGTGAGGTGGCCGGTTGACGTCCACAAGGTGGGCCCTGGGGTCTCGGCCATTGCCTCCAGGCCAGCTTTTTCGTGCCAGGCGTTTCCTGACGTTCCCCCTGTGCCGGGAAGCGGTTTCCAGAGGTGGAGAATTCCAGAAGGCTGGCCGCTGCGATCTTGTTTGCGTCGCCTGGACCTCGAGATCCGACGTCGCGAAAAGGGGCAACGCGGTGGAGTTGGCGACTGCAGCGCCAGGCCTTATACTTTTTTGCGGGATGTCGTGAGCTGGGTCGATGTGTGTGGGGCCTTGGGGCCCGAAACCAGGCGAGAACGCCCAGCGTTCAGCAGCTGCAGCGCCCAGATCCCAGGGGACCTGCCCAGGCATCCGACGTCTTGAATTTTTCGCTGCGGGTGCCCAGGAGTCCCGACCTCTTCCCCGTGGCCGTCTTTTCATCCTGGGTCGTTTTTTGGCGGTTCAGGGGCCCAGCGAGCGCCCTCGGAGGCCCGAAGTGGCGAAGCAAGTCATCAGGTGCTGCTTCTTGTCGTTCAAGACGTTGAGCGTTCCCTGAGAGCCGACGTGGCGAACAGAGTGCCACATCGCAGCGAACTGCCAGAGCCCCAGACCCCTATGTTTCTGCTGCGCTTTTCGAGCCGGATCGATCTGTGATGTGGTCCAGTGGCCCGAACTCACGCGAAATTGCCTGTCCAGTGAAAGACGTTCGACGCCCGTATCTTAGGGCCCAGACCCCCGACGTCATGATTTGTGGCACAACGTGGACGTGACGAGGTCTCGACCCATTCGTCCAGACCGGCTTCTCATCTTGAGGTGTTTTTGACGGTCCCAGGGCTTGGCGAAGGCCCCCCAGAGGCCGAAAATAGTAACAATTCGTCCGTCGCGACTTTTTGATGATCCGGGCGGGTCTGGGTCCTTCCACTCATGTCCTCCTCCTCCTCTTGCTCTTCCCCTCCTCCCCCCCCCCCTCCTCCATTCCTTTTCCTTATAAATAATTTCTCCCTGTCCCACCCCAGGGCCAGTTTTTAGGGCGGGCCGGGCGTTTCGCCTGAGGCGTCGTCGCCATTTACGACCCTGAAGCTTAGAAGTTGACAACAGTTTCAAAGATGGAGGGCGGGTGGTTTTCAAGATGTGGCTCTCGCCTTTGCGCCGCGCACATTCGTTTTCAAAGTTTGCAAGAGCTTCACGGATTGAGGGTGGGTGGTTTTCAAAAAGTGTCTCTCGCCTTAGCGCCGCGCACATTCTTGTTAAACAATTGCAGGATGTTCACGGATTCCCATGGTCGACGTACCAGACATGGTGTTTTGGAAGGATTCACGGTTCCGAAGGCGCAGCAGTTACGATGATTCGCGGACTTGAGGTCCCAGCAATGGCGTTCCGGCAATATTCAGGATCGTCAATACGCAACAGTCAGGTTCATCCGTGGCGTTGGAATACCGAGAATATGGCATGCTTCAGGGTCTTCAAACAGCTGTGTTCCAACGAAGCCGGTCCCTCTGTGGAAATGAACTGTAGTAGGGGCCTGTGAATAGGGAGCTAGGGGGGAGGGTTTCTTCCAACATCGTTGGCGACTCTTGGTTTACATTGGTCCTCCTCCTTTTCCTCCTCCTCCTCCTGCTCCTCCTCCTCCTCCTCCTCCTCCCCTCCCTATCGCCCCCCTGGGCGTTCCGCCGAAAATTTCCTTACCATGTTTGGTCTTGAAACTTGAAATTTGCAGCAGTTGTAAGGCTGGAGAGCGGGTGGTCTTGAACATGTGGTTGTCGTTTTCGCTCTGAGTACACGTTTTCAAAATTTGCGGCAGTTTCAAGGATGGAGGGCGGTTCCTTTTCAACATCTGGCTCTCGCCATGGCGCCGCGAAGATTCGTCTTAAAAGCTGACGCGAGTTCTTGCGATTCGTCAGGTTGAAGTCCGAGGACTTGCGCGTTCTGGCACGGCTTAAGATTGGCAGGGTGCAGAATTATGTTACTTTCGGTGTTCACGTCCCACGAATGGTGTTCTGGCGCGGTTTTGGATTGCCAGGTCGCAGCAGTCATGTTGGTCCGAGGCGGTGAAGTCCAAACAATTGTGTCCTCCCACGATTGAAGATTATCAGACGGCTGTCTTTTAATGGGGCACTTCCCGCTTCCCGCATACTCAGCATGTTTTTTGGAGGGACCCATGAAGAGGGAAGGTGAAGGGAGGCTCTATCGCAACGTCGTCGATGCGTCTCGGGTTTGCACTGGTGCTCCCCAACCTCCTCCCCCTCCTCCTCCTCCTCCTCCTCCTCCTCCTCCTCCTCCTCCTCCTCCTCCCCCTCCTCCCCTGGGAGATAGTGAGGCTCTCGCACCCAGAAGTACCCCGACTTCCTGGACGCCTGCGTCGCGCTCACGGGCAGGGCCCCGCTGGCCGGCTGCCACCTGGACGCCGGGCGCCGGGCGCAGGTGGTCATATCGCTCCCGGAGGACGCGGGCGGTTGCGGCTGCGTCGGCCATACGTCGGGAGCGGAAAAGAGGGGGGTGATGACTAGGGGGGGGTGGATATCACGGCGTGGGCCATGATATTTCCCCAGATTTCATGGCGCCTCTTCTTATTTCATTACGTCCCCGGCCCCCCCGCCGGGCCGCGCACATGCCGCTGGTCATGATTCGCACCCCCCCCTCTTTGACGCCCCCCTCTTTGCCGCTCCCGAATACGGTGGGGGCGTTCATTGAGGAGAACGTCGGCGGCGAACTCCGAACCCTACCCTCGCCGATCAATGATTCGGGCAACTCGATGGGCGGTGGGGGTAGGGTTCGGAAGTCGTCGGCCACGTGACGTTCCTCAAGGAGTTTGCCCAGGAGTTGGAGCCGTCTGGGGGTCCGAGGGGGCCCAGCACTGATTCCGGCCAGCATGAAGGATGGGCAGGCTCGAGACTTTGGGTTCGGACGTTTTTTGTTTGTTTGTTTTCTTTTGCCTCGTGGGCCTTTCGTGGGCCCGGGGACAGTGAAAAACGGATCCAGGGTGAAAAGCCAGATGGACCCCAAGAGGGGTCGGCACCGTGGCTTTGTTGCTATCTTGCTCGCAACGCACACCGCGCCAGAGGTGGCGGAGAGCTTGAGAGGTCCACCTACCCCCTCCCAAAAAGTAGAGGGTCGGGACTGATTTTGAGGAGATTCTGCCTCCTGACCGATCCTCAGGGATCCCAGCCAGTCCAGGCCCCCAGTCCGCCTCCAATGCCCGAGAGGCTTCCCTGAGATTCTGGCGATGCACTTTTTCACAGCGGGTGTTTTCGCCCGGTGTCGGGCCCCGGGAGCCTCGCGGGTCGAGCCGGCTCGAAGAGGGCTCTCCAGAGTTTGTGGTTGTGGCTGTTGTTGTCGTTGTGGCTGTCGTTGTTGTCGTCGTTGCTGTGGATGTGGTTGTGGTTGTGGGTGTTGCACTTGCTGCTGCTGCTGTTGCTGCTGTTGCTGTAGTTGTTGTTGTCGTCTTCGTTGTGGTTGTGGTTGTGGTTGTGGCTGTGGTTGTTGTTGCTGTCGTTGCTGTAGTAGTAGTAGTAGTAGTAGTTGTTGTTGTTGTTGTTGTTGTTGTTGTTGTTGTTGTTGTTGTTGTTGTTGTTGTTGTTGTGGTTGTTGTGGTTGTTGTTGTTGTTGTCGAACTCTCACTACTGAAGAGTAATTACTGTTGATCCCCCTTCTGGTGCACATTGTATTTTTCAATTCAAGTGCCCCTCCCAGCGCTCGCACCCTGTTTTTTCAGGGAAAGTCTTCCTCCTCAAACTGTGTCGTTGGCCCCCGGATTATAACAGCAACGGCTCCCGCCCGCGACTTCCTCACAATTTAGCCAGGACCCCCGCTCCTGCCTGAGACTTCTTCGCATTTGATTCAGGAATCGCGCTCTCGCTTGGGACTTCCTTGCAAGTTATTCAGGAATCGCTCTCTCGGCGTTCTGGAGTCGTGCTCTCGCTGGAGACTCGCTTGCAATTTCCTCAATAATACCGCCCTTGCGTTGGAATGTCCCGCAATTTACTCAAGCGCCGCCCTCCCAACATTCAGGGACCCAGGAGTCGCGCTCACGCTTAGGACTCCTGCACAGATTACATAGGAATCGGGATCTCGCTGCCCTTCCTGGCCCCGTTGCAGCCCTTCGTGGCCCTCCGTTGCAGCCCTTTGTGGCCCTCCGTTGCTGCCCTTCGTGGCCCCCCGTTGCTGCCCTTCGTGGCCGCGTTGCAGCCCTTCGTGGCCCCCTCGCTGCCCTTCGTGGCCCTCCGTTGCAGCCCCTCGTGGCCCTTTCGCTGCCGTTCGTGTCCCCGTTGCAGCCCTCCGTGGCCCCCTCGCTGCCCTTCGTGGCCGCGTTGCAGCCCTCCGTGGCCCCCTCGCTGCCCTTCGTGGCCCCGTTGCAGCCCTTCGTGGCCCCCTCGCTGCCGCTCGTGGCCCCATACCCTTGTGGCCCCCGCTCGTTCGCGCCCGTCGTGGCCCCATATGCACGCCCTTCGTGGCCCCGCGTTCGCCCGTCGTGGCCCCCTCGCTGCCCTTCGTGGCCCCGTTGCTGCCCTCAGTGGTCCCGTCCTTGCCCTCCGCGGCCCAATATACGTATGCCCTTCGTGGCACCCGCTCGTTCGCGCCCGTCGTGGCCCCATGTGCATGCCCTTCATGGCCCCGCTATCGCCCTTTAAGGCCCCCTCTCGCTGTCCTACGTTCCCCAGTTGCTACCCTCAGTGGCCCCGTCGTTGCCTTCTGTGGCCTCGCATTATCTGTCCTTGGTGGCCCCCGCTCGTTCGCGCTCTCCGTGGCCCCATACGCATTCCCCTCGTGTCCCCGCTGTCGCCCTTCATGGCCTACTTCGTGCCCTTCGTGGTCCTGCTGTCGTTCTCTCTCTCTCTCTCTCTTTCGCTCTCGCTTTCGCTCGTCGTCGTCGCCGTCGTCGTCGTCGTCGTCGTCGACGTCGTCGTCGTCGTCGTCGTGGTCGGTCCCCTGTCCGTCCCTCTTAGGGTCGGGTTGCCGCCGATCAGCGCTGCCGCTGGCCAGGCCGACGGTCCGCGGCCACCCCGCCGCTTGCCGGGGCCCAGCCTGCAGGGAAGAAAGGTCTCCCCCCCAAAAGGGTAAGATCGAAGACGAAAAGGGCGGGTATCGAGGGTTTGGGAAACACGCGTTAACGGACACTCGAGCAGATAAGAGCGAACAATATTAACATGATTGTTGTGGTTGATGAGTTCTCATTGAATAAAAGTTGTTGGTCCCCCCGCCCAGTGCACATTATATTTTTCGATTGAAGTGCCTCTCCTGGGGCTCGCAACATGTTTTTTATCAGGGGAAATCTTGAGGGTCAAACTGTGTCGGTGGCCCCCGGTTTACAACAACCGCGGTTCCCGCCTGATACTCCCTCACAATTTATTGAAGACTCGCGCTCTCGTTTCGGACTTCGCAATTTACCACCGAATCGCGGCTCCCGCCTGATACTTCCTGATTATGCATTGCAGAATCGCGTTCTCGCTTGGGACTTCCTCGCAAATTACCACCGAGCCGCTCGCTTGATACTTCCCCACAATTTATCCAGATGCCGATCCTCGACGCTCAGGAATCGCGCTCCTGCGACATAACTGCTTGGCGGTTCAAGCAGGACTCACGCTTCAACGGCCCATCCGCTCGACCCGCCCGTCAGGGCCTGCCCGCCCAACCAGCCAATTAATGACTGCAGTGGCCGCTCGCTGCCCTTCGCCCGCCTTCGATGCCCCTCGCTGCCCGTACTGATTCTGCGGTCGCCTTCGCTCGCTGCCTTTCGTGGCCCCGTTGCTGCCCTCAGTGGCCCCGTCGCTGCCCTTCGTGGCCCCGCATTATATGCCCTTCGTGGCCCCCGCTCGCACGCGCCCGTCGTGACCCCATACGCATGCCTTTCGTAGCCCCGCTGCCGCCCTTCGTGGCCCCCTAGCTGCCCTTCGTGGCCCCTTTGCTGCCCTCAGTGGCCCCGCTGTTGCCCTTTGTGGCCCCGTATGCGAATGCCCATCGTGGCCCCATAATTATGCATGCCCTTCGTAGCGCCGCTGTCGCCCTTCGTGGCCCCCTCGCTGCCCTTCGTGGCCCCGTTGCAGCCCCTCAGCGGCCCCGTCGCTGCCCTCGGTGGCCTCGGATTTTATGTCGTTCGTGGCCCACGCTGGCTTCTCTCACGATTTACTTGGGAATGGCGCTATCGCTCGAGATGTCCTCGCGATTCATGCAGGACCCACGCTGCAGCAACCCGCCTGCTCGACCTCGTCGCCTGGGCCCGCCTTCCCGACTTGCCCGCTATGGGTCTGCCCACCCGATCTGCCCGTCTGGTCCAACTTCTTGTTTTCTGCTCCCCCCCCTCCTGCTAATTTCTCTCGTGCTCCATTCTTCCCCCTCCCCCTTCAACCCGTCCTCTCTTCCCTTACTTTCGGGGTTGTGCTGAATACACGTGGCAGGTGAGGAAGATACACCCCCAAGGGGGTACGATCGAAGACGACGAGGGCAGGCACCGAGGGTTTAGGAGATACAATTGTCACGTCAGCAGGTAGGAGCGAACAGTCTTAACATGATTGTTGAACATTATTTCTTCTTAAGAATAATTATTGTTGGGACCCCTGGTGCGCGACCCCCCTCCAAAACCTAGGCCGCAGCTACATTTTCATCATTTTTTCGCAGAAGCTTCAGAAAAGTGGATTATGTCCGGATCCGGTTGTTTTGTTCCCCCCCGCTTTCCCTTGCAAAAAACACTATAAAATGAAAATTCTTGTTCTTATTTGATCAAATTGCAAGAATCCCTTGCAAAAAATAAGGTAAAGTGGACATTCGTGCGCGCAAGACGAAATCCTTCCAAAACCTTAGGTTTCGTAACGATTTTAACATAAAAACATCAAAAACCCAATGGTTTTTTAAGAAAAAATTGTCAAAATGTCCTTCCGCGCGCGCTGTCCGAATCCCACAAAACCAATGGTTTTTCAACATTTATGTTATATGAGCTCGCGCGAGCTACTTTTTCTTGTTCTAACATAATCAAATTTCAATAATCCCTTGCAAAAAATAAGGTAAAGTGGACATTCGCGCGCGCAAGACGAAATCCTTCCAGAACCTTAGGTTTCGTAACGATTTCAACATAAAAACATCAAAAACCCAATGGTTTTTCAAAAAAAAATGTCCAAATTTCATCCCGCGCGCGCTGTCCGACTCCCACAAAACCAATGGTTTTTCAACATTTATGTTACATGAGCTCGCGCGAGCTACTTTTTCTTGTTCTAACATAATCAAATTTCAATTCCCTTGCAAAAAAAAGTAAAGTGGACATTCGCGCGCGCAAGACCAACAAAAAACACGACGATCTCAGGAACTTGCCCCAAAAATGTGACCAACTCCGCTCTCTCTGTCTCTCTCTCTGTCTGCTCTCTGTCTCTCTCTCTGTCTGTCTGTGTCATGTATTGTATGTCACAATTGCAGGATGCTGGGCACACGCGCGCCCCGAATAAGTGACCAAGTTC